CTTTTTTTAGCATTGGATGATAACTTGCTGCTTCTTTTCTGTACTCAGCTGTTGATGCCCTGTTGAGAATTTCTGTTAATACCTTTTGTTGAACATCCTTTCACCACATTCTTATGTAGTATTGGGATAAAGACAGATTGCTGTAGCTTGTTTCTCTTTCCCTTCCATGTTAATTTTCGACGTGAAAGGGATCTCCACTATAAAGATGAATCATTCTCTTTCATTGGGCTAAGTTAGTTCAGGTACCCATGGAAAGAAACAGATTTGCCATGTGGTGTGTTTTCTGTTATTCACAAAAAGACTCCTAGACCAGTTTTCTATATGTGACCTCCCTCTGCTCTTCCTGTAGACGTGAAGGACATTAGTTAACTGAGTCAGACAAGCCCTTCAAAAACAAGTGTTGGTCAGATTGATGATGACAGCTCTTTGGACTGATAGCATTAATTTTCTCCCCTTTGCCTCAGAATACCTTGCATTTATATAGCTCCTATCATTTCAAAGCACTTTTCAAACTATAGGAATCACGTCAACCATCTCTGGGGGTGACATAGGGTAGGTGTTAATAGTGCACACCAACACTCTAGAACATTTTAAGACAGGAAGCCAAAAGTGTCACAGCCAATTGGAACTTCTGGTAGGCAGAATCTCATTACCCCAATTTCAATTTGAGCAGGATGCTGGGGTTAACACTTCACTTTTATATAAAATGACTTTGGGATGTTTAATGGTGGTCAGAATCTTGGTTTTACATCTCCTTTGAAAGATGGTTCCTCCATCAAGGTATTGCCTACTATCAACATGCTAAGACATTTCTTCCAAATCTCTATTGAATGAGTGTTCTGCCTACAAAGCTACCAACACCACCTCTGTTCAATAGCAACGTGCTTTGTCTTTGTCTTCCATCCAAGTGCTGAAGCCATCCTGGCCTTGCTTAGCTTGTAAGATCTGATGAGATCATAAGGGAGATGCCTGGAAATCCCTACTGCTTCTCCAAGTAGCCAGCAATTTTTGTTTTATGCTGATCTGACATGAATATATAAAAAAGAATGCTGAAGATGATTGACAAAAGCAAAATAGTCCATTGGAGACAGGAATTGCTTTAAGGCTTTTGTTAGTTCTACCCTGATGACTTTCAATTCTCTTAAAGAATTTTTTAAACTTCAACGTGGATATTGAATGTTAGTCTGCTTTTATGGAGCTGTCATTTGGAAATGAGTTTAATACACATGCTTGTCACTAAACTGTTTATAAATATCAGTGATTGATCAGCTCCCAATTGACCAGTAAGCTTTCAACTTGATTCTAGTGCTAATGGAACTCTAAAGTGAAATAATTTATTGATCTACTCTGTCAATACATATTATTCAGAAGAATTAACTGTAAGGAGCTTTGGGTGGGAAAGGCAAACATTCTCCATAAAGACACAAGATGATACCATGACTCCACAATGATATTGGAAGCCATTGATGATGTTCCTTTTACTTCATGTTCCTCCAAACACTGCTGTTGGGTTGATTCACTTTGCCTTCCCAAAAGTACTGTTATTTAATATTAATAGTAATGTTCTGGTCTACTCTTATAGCTCTGTAGATGAGCATGATACTTTACAAACTCAGGTAGGTTAGGCATTGCCCCTAAGGGTTTCCAATTGAGTGTGAACAAAAACCAAAATAAAAGAGGAGGCGTGAGAGTTGGAAAAGAGTCTCCTAAGAGATCAATGATACAGTTCAGATTTTTTTTTAAAGTAGGGGAGGGAGGATGCATGGCATGTGATAGAGAGGGTGAAGTTACGAGCAAAAAGGGCTTCTTGGAGTGGAAAAGATAGAGTAGAAAGTGGAAGAAGCCAAAAGCAGTGTCATGCTACAGGGAGGTGTTTTAGGGACCAATTGACCCAGTGTGTGTTTGTTCCCCTAGTGAAATACAAGTGATTTTTGGTATTGACTCTGCTACAGCTCTCCAAAGACAACTGTTGCACTCGGCCATTCTGTCCATCTTGCCTGCTGCTTTGCTACTGCTGATTGTAGTGTCACAGAGGCGCAGCAAAGCAATATTGTGCCTTAGGATGATCCAGAACTGTTTTGTCCTAAGGTGACTGTCTTGTTTCAAGGACCTTTATTGCTACCTTGCTAATTATTCTGGTTTCAGGTTCCCATAAAATGTATTGTCACATTTAAAGAGATCAAGAAAGGCCTGTTCTGCACTTGAAAAGTCTCCCAGTGTAACGTTTTGTTGGTAGAGTGATTATTTTTCACCAAAATAGTGTTATGGGTAGAACTCTTAGTATGGGTGCAGTTACATCCGTATAAAGGTGCTATATACAGAGAGCTTCTTCCTCTTCCTGTACAGCAATATGCTATACCAATATTAGCACTTTTATACTGGTTAGCTGCACCTACCCCAGGATGATTGAATGGCATTAACTATTCTGATATAGTTGTAGTAGTATGAGTTTTTATGTGCAGATCAGCCCAACTTCCTGAAACGAAATAAATTCCTTTTCGTTATAAACCTGCTCTTGAGAGCCAAACATTTCCAGCATCAAAGGTTATGTCTGCACAGCATCTTGGAGTCCATGTGAGCAAGCTTATAGCCCAGGTCAACGGGTTCGCGCTAGGGCTCTAAAAGCAACTGTATGGACAGTATGTGGACGTTTCAGTTCCAGCTGGAGCTCAGGCCCCGAAGCCCACCCTCTCCTTAGGCTTCAGAGCCCGAGCCGCAACTTCTAAGAGGTGTTACACAGCTATTTTTAGAGCACTAGCGTGAGACCCACTAACCCAAGACTCTCAATCCAGGCGTGCAGGCTCACTCCTGGGGTTCCAAGTGCTGCATAGACATAACCAACGAAGTTTGGTCATAACTGACCCTATTTTAACAATGTTGTGGTTATCAACAAAATGAAACATTAGCAATATACCATGGGACCTGGGAAAGAGAGTTGGGCTTTTATCTCCAATGCATTCCTGACTCTTCATTCTTGCTGACATTAGATCAGTGTTCAGAGAATTAGCAGGGACTCCTGTTCTGTATAAAGACATGTCGGGCTCAGCAAGTTAAAAATATTGTGAAAAGATTGGGGGTCTGCCTCTATCTTCAGCGAGAGAGCTCTTTTTCTAACAATGTGGGTTCCCCCCTCTGAGAAGGGCAGCATTGAACTTGTTCTCCTGTTGCCCTATTTTATGTTGTAATGCTTGTAAAGTATTTAATCTTTTGCCCCTCCAAAACAAACTTCTCAGACAATCTAAACCTCAAACTGTATCAGGACCCATTTGATTTTTAAACCTTTATGCTCCTCATGTGGGTTTAGTCAACAGAAATGTAAGGGTTGCATCCTCAGCTATTATCCAGTCATATTGGTATATATGGCGTATGCTCTGTGTGTTCTTGAAACCTTCACCAGCCAAGGAGACTGGTACTTCTCTAGTTATGTTGTCCTTTTCTCTTCCCTGTTCTTTATTAAACACGCTAGGTCTCCACGAGCCACAGCTCTCACATCTTTCTATTTCCCCCAGGTGTAACTGAGCTTAAATGTTTGTCTTGAGAGAGCCATTGCATTCAGGTCAGCTAAATAAAACTTGAGCTGCAGTTGTAAGTAATAGACTGCCCATTCGTTTTCTGTTTGATCTCCTTGTCCTATAACAGAATAGAAACCAAATTTTCAAAAAACTTTTCTGAAATGCCTTGTCAGCATCTTTAATTGCCTGATTATTGACCGTGTTCTTGATCATTGAGGGGGGAAGGAGGTGTGCCTGACTTTTCCAGAATGAATGAGATTTGAAATAGAAACATGTACTTTTGTTATGGAAAGTTATTTTAGTATCACCTGGAGCAGTGGGTCTCAAACTTCTGTACCAGTGACCTCTTTCACACAGCAAGCCCCTGAGTGCGACCCCCCCCCTCCTTATACATTAAAAACACTTGTTTCTATATATAACACCATTAGAAATGCTGGAGGCAAAGCGGGGTTTGAGGTGGAGGCTGACAGCTCGCGACTCCCCATGTGATAACCTCACGACCCCCTGAGGGGTCCCGACCCCCAGTTTGAGAACCTCTGATCTAGATCATACTCTTGTATGTTTGTAAAATATAATGTGTAGCTGCTGCATCTAGTGCTAAAACGGCATTGTATGATTAGAATTACGTGAGCTGGCTAGCTCATGGATAGAGGTCTCAGCAAGGACAAGTGTTTTAAGGGAATTTGGTGACATGATGGAAACAAATAGAGTGTTTTGGGGTAATCTAACTATGTGGCATCTCTTTCTACTCCAGCTGACGAGGAAAACCCTCCATTCTAACTCACTAGTAAAAAATAAATTAGTACTGGAGTGGACAAGCTTAGCCCAACTGATGAGCCTTCATTGCCAACTTGCCAGGAACCTGAGGACTGCAGCTACCTTGCATGAAATAGAATAGATGGCAGCACTCTCATAGAACATGGACGCTATAGAAACTACGTGTGATCCTTGTAGAGTTCCATTGGCTGTATTTGACCTCAGGCTGCACTTTGATCATCTCTCCGTTAGAAAGTTCACTTTTTCACATTGTTCTAAACCTTTTAATTATGATTGATTGAACTCTCATTTACTCAATTATTTTTATATCCATCACACCATAGTGTATCAAACAAGACTTTCAGGTGCTGTCTTGAGCGAAACAAACATGTGGATCCCCAAAGTTCAACCAAACTCCTGATTCTAGGATCTCTGCCATAAGAATGTTTCTAGGCTTGTCTCTAATGTTGTCTCATCTTTTTGTGTTGTTTTGTTTGTTCTAATAATCTGCACTGTTACCAAAGTTGCACGCTTTTGCCTGCTCATAGCTTATTAAAAGGAAAAGTGGCAACAGGCTAATCGTTGAAGATTAGTGGAGAAAATGTGATCTCTGGAGGGTAGCTACATCCCATTCATCTGAAGGAGCTTTGCACACCTTGCTTTTCCGTTGTTTCAGCTTCCAGGTTATTTTTAGTACCAGCGATTTGATCCATTCTTTTTTTCCTCCTCCAGCATTGCCATGGCAACAAAAGAAAATATGACTTCGCAGAGAGGGATATTGAAGTCAATACAAAGCAAAATGAATACCTTGGCCAGTATCCTTTCTGAAAGAGCTGTGCTGCGAGTGCCTTCAGGAAGAAGCTATCTCGACACAATTCATTCTGCAAATTTGGGGTTCAACGTACTTTAACAGGCAATGGCAATATAACACAGTCATCATACATCTGCTGAGCCAAAGATTGCATTATGCCTGTCCCACTCCATCAATAAGATGTCTTGCTCGGATTAACAGTGTGATAAACTTAGCTGTTGGGTTTTTTAAATGCAACTTTGAATACTACATATAAGCCAACATTTAATCTTCATTTAGAGATCTAGAACAACAAAATCTAACATACTCTAACTACATACACTCTGCTAGAAGTATTATTGTATTTTATTGTTTTCCTGGCATTTTACTTTCAGGGACAAATGGCTGCAGTTTGATGTGGATGTGTCATGGCTGTAGTGCAGAGCAAAATGTTTCCATGACTTGAAGAGCTCCTTGTGTCACTCAGACCTCTTGATTTTAAGTTTTTAGTTTGTTCATTTCATCTCCCCCATTTCATGCTCCAGGCTAAAGAATGTGCTGGATTGTGAAGTCATGCGTGTTTACCATTTTTCCTACTATTTCTTCTTTTCCATTGTAGCAGCACAACGAGGGGCATTAGCCTCATTTGATTAGACAGAAGATATGTCCTGGAGATATGTAGCTTGATGAGACATAAATTTCATTAGACTGTTTTTAGTGACTGGCAAGAACAAAAGCAGCTCAATAAACGTTAGCCTTAAAAGATTCGTGGGTGCAAAGACAACGCTCTGAAACTTGCGAACTTGTTGCAGATCTCATTTTTATACATTAAATAAATCTCCGCATTTTACAGTGAGGGCAGTTCTTCCCTCTATGCCATGCAGTAAACAGTCTTCATCTGGGGGATAGGAACTATTTCTGTAGCCAAACACCATCCGTTGTTCCCGTTACCATTACTAGTGTTCTGCTAAATAAATTTCACAACCTTTTGTATTCAGCTAGCCCAGATTTCATGCTGGATTACATATAGGCTTCTGCATAAACGCCAACTTTACGCTTTTCTGTTATCCTCTTCCTCTCATTGTTTTTTATTAATGAAGTAAAATTGTAATCTTGCTAACTAGCCATAAGGCCTTTTTGTCACATCTGTTTTCTTTGGTTTGTGATTAGTTCTGAACTCTTTGCTTTGCTGCTCACGTCTGTGTATAGATCTGGGCTCTGCCCAGTTTTGATGCTGCTTGCTAATATGACCTTAACTCAGACCCTCAAAGATCGGTTTCCCGCAGTGAACAATCTGATTCAAAGGATCAACCTACGGAAGCGACGGGACTCTCTCATCCTGGGTGGCGTTATTGGCATCTGTACCATCTTATTGTTGCTATACGCTTTCCATTGACGGACATTCTCCATAGACTCTGATAACCTTATCTGCTCCCAACCCATCAAGGAGAAGTGGGTGGGGGAAGTCAGTAGACCTGATAAACAGCCTGCACATGATGGCTGGAATATCAGCATGATGTCTAAGGTTTATGGTGGCAGACTTTACAACACTGGTTTTGAGCTGAAGCTGCAGTATTTCTCCTCCCCTGCCAAAACTATTTCTTTTTCTTTGGTCAAATTTTGCTTGAATATTTTTTTAAATCCCCTGTCTCACTACAAGGTAAGTAATATACAACATTTATGAGACTCAGTAGAGAATCTTCCCTACTGGATGATGGTAATGAAATCTGTCATTGCCTGTTAAGTGAAACAATTGTTAAGCTTCTCTTAGGTGGAATTTCTTCAGGAAGCCAGTTTCCCCTGAAGGTCAAGTACAGGACTAGATATTTTTGCCCTATAATAAGGATATTGCAGCTTTAAGCCATCAGGTTGGTTTGTTACTGATTACAACCTCTAAGTTTTTTACTCATGATTGAGCTATTGCGAGTCATTTCTACTTAACTTGTGCTGTGAAAACTGTGCTCCTTCCCACAAATTCCTGAGACAGATAAGGATTGTTGAATTCACTTTTTGCACAGAAGATGTCTGAACTGCTATCTGAGGAGCACTTACAAGGGTTTTTGTGGCTTTAAGGGGACTCCAGGAAATATTTGCAGTCCTGCTTTGGAAAAAGGGAGCATAGTATCCTCTCAGTTTTACCGTAGTATTAAGTCATTTAAAGTGACCAAACACGCTTTCACCTGAAAGTAATCTTTTGGGTGTCAATATTTTGGTTTTGGCTGATATCACAAAAGGCTTCATAAAGACATAATAGTTTCAAAAGTCTATTTTAATTTAGATGAAAGGTATTCTAATAGCATTCATATTTTTACACTGTAAGTAGGATGGAGTCTAACCTGTACATTGGAAAGGGAAAATACATCGGTTATGCCTGATGGCCAATGTATCTGTGTGCAAAATTGTTAAATACATAACTCCTCATAGTAAAGAGTTAAATGAATGAGTGGCTGAATATGCAATTACGTTTCTTCTCTAGTATCTGCAAAACACATGTACATAGATATTTTTTTCAATTGTTCATTGTCCAAACACAGCAGAGATTTTAGATTGTTAGCAAAACCTGTTGGGTTTGTCTCTGCAGATGAGTATCTGTTAAGAAATCTAATGTCAGGAATGTCTTTGATATAGCAAATCTACAAATTACAGGTTCTCTCCCCTTTCCAGTTGTTCTATGCCATCTTCGCCTGTCTTATAACCATAACTAGCAAAACTCTGAGGCACTGGCCTTTTTTTGAAGAACTTGATTAACTATTTGCACAACTGACTTACAACACTCCCAAATTTAATGTGTCTTCCCATTAATAGTTGCCAGAGGCGGTCCGGAGACCTTCCCTTGTCTCCAGGTCCTCCTCTGTGCTAGAAGAAGACAGGCCACCCACAACAGTTATAATTCATTTTATTACTGCTTTTATAGTGTATGTGCAGTACCCTGTTGGAGGGAGTAAAGAATTGTGCCTGTGTAGTGTGTGTATGAAACCACACAGTTGTATAAACTGTATTGTTCATTTGGACTTGAAAAAGGCTTATGTGCAGAATACCCTCTTTGTGCCAAACAGGCTGCAAAGACTCGTTTTGTCGGTTATTTTTGGGATTAGAAGGCACTTGCAATTAATGCTAGTAAAATTGAGGTTTGTCTTTTTAAATAAGGGATGGTCGTTTGGTTGATTGGGGAATATCCCTGGTTTTGAAATGAAGTGCTCATTAGAATTTTTCTTGATAAAGACTGAAGGATAAAGGAAATTTATTAATGAATCTCTATATATCAAAACTCTTCTCCCCTGATACTTTATTTTCTTTGATTTTTCAAAGGGCCCTGACTGGCAGTTATGCTCCATTAGGGTTTATAGGATTTGGTTGCTATGTAGTTGGCAATTATAAGACCTGCAAATCGTAAATAAATTCATTTATTTAATCTGATGACCAGTCTTTTTAATGAGCTTAATTGATTTGGTGCATTATTTAATCTTACCGTGTATTTAAAAAAAGCTATGGAAAATGTGCAGATTGTAGCAAATATCAATCAATTTGTTAGGACTGTGGAGGAGCTGATATGTTATAGGGCATAAAGGAGTAGAAATATGATGAATTCCCTTTGAAAATGTGGGGTTAATATTGGAGGTGGCATTTCAGTGGTTGGCAACTGCTCAGTGACTTTGATTTGGTGCTGGTGCTGAGAGGGTTTTGTATCAAATATATTTAATTATCCTAGCAGAATTGCCCTTTCGTGAGCTACTGTCAGCCATGTACCTGACACAAGCATCCAGCATCTCTCTAAAATGGATAGAATGGCTGGCCTGGGGGAGAGACTTGCTAAATGCCATGAGTCTCTTTCTAGCATGGCTCTATAATTAGGGACAATGGACCTTAAAATAAGGGACAGAAAACAGTGGGCTGATTTAAGATTTAATCCGGAGTCTCTGACCCACTGCTCCTCTCTTTGCAGCTTGTTCACCTGCCTCCTATTGCAAAATGTATTTCCATATTTTTTCATTGTGTCCAGCACTTCTCTGCCTTTCTGGTTCTCAAGGCCAGTTAGAGGCGCCTGTCTTGGAGGTGGGGCCCCTCAGTAGTCCCATCAGTGACACTGGAAGTGTTGCCTTCCTGTTTATCCACCAGCAGGAGCTGTAGGGAGAAGTTGTGGCCAAAGCACAAAAACAAGCTAAGATCACTTTCAAGATGCTTCTCAGTCTCCATCGCCTCTCAGAGGGGAAACACATTGACCTGCGGGGGCTCTACTATCACTTCTTTCCATGTGCTGTTTGTCAGTGACCAGCCACCCGTTGTAAAGCTGTCTGGTAAGCCATCAGCTCTCCTCGAATTCCAGAAAGAGCTCTTCTGCCCTCTTTTACCCAGCCCCAAATAAACACAGGAACATTTCTTCCTCTTCAGTCTCCTGGCCCACTTTCTGGCTAAAAGTTGCAGCATGATTTTTCAGACTCCAGCCACCCGAGCAGCAATCCTGGTAAAATCCAGTGCTGCCTGAAAATCCTGCCCGTAAGTAGGATGCACAGCAATGAATTCCCTGAAAATGTTATAGGCGTTTTTATGCCAAATGAGTGTTGCCTGATGATGCTGTGCTTGGCAGCCTCGGTACCAGACTGCTGTTCCTGCAATACTATTGATCATTATTCTGTATCCTTCACTAGAGAGAGAGAGTGCAAAGTAAGGATGCACAAAGGGTTTTATTTTACTCCCTCAGCCTGTCTCTGGGACCAGTAGAATGTTCACCAGATCCCTCTTCATTAATAAGACAGGACGGTGCTTCTGAGTCTGCCTGCTGCTGAGAGGTTGTAATGGAAAACACGGCACTTTCATTCTTCAATTAATCCCTGGCAAATTTAGGAACTTCTGGGCATAGAGTTCTGAATTCAGTTAGGAATTCGCACCGCCCCATTAGATAACCAAGCAATGCTTTTCTTCAGCTCCGTGCAAAAGTCCTCTTTTGAAGGGCCCAACAAAATCAGAATGTGCAGAACATAAAGTTCTTCACTGGGTGTTGAAAATAAAAAGGCAAAAGTAGATCTGTAGGCAGCGTGTAGGTGTGAGACATGCATTGATAGTTCAACTGCCAGGGCTTTATTCCTCAAGGAACCCTGAGAATTGCTGCACAGGGGGTAACGGCTGGCCTAGCACTTTTGGCTATGTAGCTAATTTAGCCAACACAGTTAAACTACTAAAGTAACTAAAAGTTGCTTCCCAAGCACCCTTGATGCACAACAGGATTTTTTTTCCTATTGTTTCCAGCTAACATTCAGGGCAGGGAAGGAGGACACAGGCTTTGTTACAAAGGGTTTCAGAATGATTTCCTCCTTTAGAAAGTGACAAAGTTGGTGTTACGAAACTCTGCAGGGAAGGGAGCCTATGTAACAATGTGCAGAATACATTGAAAGACAACTTCCGACAAAGCTGAGCCATGGAGACATCTGCTCCTTGTGCCCTGTCTCTCGTCTCATGACTGGACATTTGCCTGCAGTGTGAAGCTTTCAGCTTTGAATGAGTAAGCTGTTGGTCTGCCCACCATTCAGAGAGCGGGAAGCCGTTCCAGTCACACTCTGTCAAGACTAATGGTTATTCTTTCTCATGGAAAATACCACCCCAGCCCCATGTATGTTCTTTTCCAATTGCACTTTCTAATTCGTTTGCTTTTCAAATGGCTTCTTGAAACCTAACTATTTTATTGTATCTGTAATTATTTTTGTTCTCACCTAATGTGCATTTTCTGTCTGTATAGAAAAGCTTTGTTATGTAATTTAATAATAAATTAGAATTCTAAATGATGGTGCTTTTTTGTTTCCCTGTAAGAGTCCCAGTCTGCCTACACCTCAGTTTTAAGAGGTGGACAAGACTTAAGTCATCCAGTCCATCTCCCTACCAGTGCAGGATTGTTACGTAGAATAAATGTTCCAATGTTTTTCTCCATCTTGTCCTAAATGTCCCAAGCAATAGGACTTCTATCCCTTCCTATAGCCCGACTGGAAGTGTTTCCACATATACAGCAGAAATGGACACGCTTCCTCCTATTTATACCCATTTGTTCCACTCTAAATAGTTCCTCTCCCTTCTTGATGTTTAAACCCTGATTACGTTGTTAGACTTTTATCCCTACCCTTTTAGTTCTCTCTAGGCCAGCACTACGGACATAGTTCCTTCCTTCTCAGCCTCTCTAGCCCCATACTCGTTTATTCTCTGAATCCCCTCTAATTTGTCAGTATTTTTCTGGTAACGAGGTCCACAGGATTCCTCCACATCTGTGACTAAAATTGCACTGGCCTTGTTAGTTGCCATACTGTGTTGAAGACTTGTGTAATTTGTTGTCATCTCACACCAGAAGTGAATGGTGTTGGTTACTGAAGTAGACAGTGTAACAAAATGTGACAGCCATGCATGTGCTTTCTCCCACACATGCAAATTTGGTCCATTCTCCTTTTTGCTGTGAGCATTTACGTTAGAATCACTTCAGTATCGTGATGGTGGCTGCGTTGACGGGGTTTCAGGCAGTGGGAGCAAGCATTTTCCTCATTTCAAGGTGAGCTAAAAGGCTGCTGTGACCCAATACTATAAAGCGTTTACGCCAACACAGGCGTTGGTGCTCATTTAGGCATTAAAGTGCAGATACATGTACCAAAAAATCTGAAAAATCCTATCTATGTAGGCACTGGTTCAAAATCCTTTGAATTTTTTCTCCAAGAGGTAATCAATAGCAACTCAAGAAGTCTAGGAAAATCCTCTACTTTTTAGATGCTTGTGAGGTCATCAGCTCACACGAGAATTTAGAAAAAGTATAATTTAATGGAAACTTAATGACCTCCTCCATCCACAGTTTAACACATTCCCTCCTTCCCCATCCCACTGATGTTTAGACACTATGGATTCATTTTTTTCATTTCACTCTGTTTCACACTGTTTTCTGCAGGAAATTCTTAGTTCTTGTGATGGTGTTTTTTCCCTAAGCTGATTTTCCTCTACCTAGAAGTGCAGGTCTGTCTGCTTCCCCTCTTCCCCCCTCACCACCACCTGGCAGAGGCCCCCTGGCATAAGCTTAGCTTTCACATAAATGCCAACTAGTCCTGCCATCCATCTGAGACTACCTGTCAGAGTGATAGAAATGGGCTGCTCCCTTGAGTCACTGCCTGTATCTATCCTTTTCATTTGAATGCACAATGTAACACCTAGCCAGCAGGCTGTTGCCTGCTACTTCTCATGTTTGTGCAGAGCACTGGAGGAAAACCTGTCCATAGCCAAAAGGGATTAGAGAGAGCTGGGCATGCTGTCACTTTTAGCACTTGCTTTAATTCAGGCTAGCTCAGCTTCCCCGGCTATGGAGATTCAGATCCACCTCTCATCTTGGGGCACAAACCTCTGCCACCTGGCCTTGGAAGTGCATCGTGGCAGTCGGTGTGATCGCCTGTTTGAACACTGATGTAGCAGAACTTAAAAAATAGCTTTATTTTCTCTTGTAAAGGACTTGATTGATTAAAAGTTAAGCAACGTTAACGTCTTCCTCCAGCCAGAGACTGCCACTGAAACGACTGTATTTTTACAGCCGTTTAAATGAAGATGTTCTTGCAAATAATGGATCCTTGCTGGCAGGCAATAGGAATTGTTGTTGGGTTCTCTAGAGAGCCAGATAACACTGTTACTTCTGTTTAAAAACAAAACCCACATTGTTGCCAGTAATACCTTGAACTACTTTCTCAAACCGGATAAGTAAGCCATGGGATGTGACAGAAAACCTCTGAGTGTAGAAAAGGTAGATTTTGCGCAACTAATCATTGCCCTGAAGTGCAGCACTGCACCTAAATTAAGATTATACTTAATCACCCCTCGTTTGTTTTGTCACTTGCTATTTCTCTCCTGTATGTCCTAGACACCTCTTCTTTGACAGAGGTTGTTTCGTATAGACGTCATGTGCCTATGTTTGTGTGTGTGTCATATTAAAATGAGACCCCCAACTGCAAAACTAATTCTTCCAAGTTTCAATTTCATTCTAAACTCTTGGTTATCTTCATAAATGTAGTAATGCACGCCCAGTGGGAATATCCTAAAACTTCACACACACCCTCACCCAAATGGCCTATAGGCTTGCCCAGTAGGGTACAAGGCATCTGCTTTTCTTATACTAATCCATGAAGACTCCTGGGAAGGGAGAGATCAGAAGTAAGTACTTTGTAGTAGAGGTAGTTGTGACCGGGGAGGCAGTATGATATAGCGTCTAGAGCAGAGGATTAGTAGTCAGAGTTTATTTGTGTCTCTTCCACTGATTCGCTGTATGACCTTGGGTAAAAAGCAACAGAGGGTCCTGTGGCACCTTTAAGACTAACAGAAGTATTGGGAGCATAAGCTTTCATGGGTAAGAACCTCACTTCTTCAGATGCAAGTGAGGTTCTTACCCACGAAAGCTTATGCTCCCAATACTTCTGTTAGTCTTAAAGGTGCCACAGGACCCTCTGTTGCTTTTTACAGATTCAGACTAACACGGCTACCCCTCTGATACTTGACCTTGGGTAAGTTACTTTATCCATGTGCTTCAATTTCCCCATCTGTAGCACAGACTTCATATCTGTGTCACTAAAGCAATGGGCAGCTTAATCATTTTAATGTGCCTTCAGGTTTTATTTAGTCTCTTTCAATCAGAATAAAATGCCATGTAATCTGATTCTGATGGAAGCGTTAATGTGCTGTGGACCTATGAAGGAATAGGCAGCATGCTCAATTTACCCTTCTCATAAGAGACAGCGACTCTGCTACTGGACAGAAGGGAAAGATAAACAAAGGAAATGGCTCTTACCATAAGACCCATAAGATAATTTCGGGGGCAAGTAGAGCCGATATTCTAGTGTCGAGCTGTTCTGTACTTTGCAATTTCCACCTCTCTGTTCCAGGGACTGAGATAAGGAACTACAGCACCTTGGACAGCTCCCCAGCTTCATTCAATCCTTTCACCTTTTCTGAGAGCCTGTAACAGGATTTTCATAGAAATGAGGACTGGCAGGGATCTTGACAGGCCAATTAGTCCAGTCCCTGGCACTGAGGCAGGACTAAGTATTGTCTAGACCATCCCTGACAGGGGTTTGTCTAACTTGTTCTTAAGAACCTCCAATGACCGAGATTCCACAACTCCCCAGGTAATTTGTTCCAGTGCTTAATTACTCTGACAGGAAGTTTTTCCTAGTGTCCAACCTAAATCTCCCCTGCTGCAATTTAAGCCCATGACTTCTTGTCCTGTCCTCCGTGGTTAAGGAGAACAATTTATCACCCTCCTCTTTATAACAATCTGTTTAACAATTTTGGTTTTATTCAGAGCTGTACATTGTGATAATCCAAGATGACCATGATTAAAACAATGACTAGGATGGGATGTGGAAAGAAAACAAATGATGGTGCAGTTCCTCATTAGGGGGTGTTTAATGATTTGCATAACTATAAAGCTGCTTGCAACATGACCAGAGAAGCAAAGCATGCAAACCTCAGTCTTCAATAGCACCGGGTTGTCCTCAGCTGCATTAGAAACAAATAGTTCTTAAAACAATTTGTAAATTGGCCTTGTTGTCATGAATGTATGAGACATAGTAGCATGCGGTAGGGTGGGGTTGTGTCAGCTGCTTCAGGACACCTCTGCCAGTACAGCTTCATTGTGAGTGCTACTGCAGTCCTGCCCCTGCGGTATTCAAATCCAGAAAGTACTGTACCTGGACACTTGGCAAGTTACCTTTGTTCACCTGTACCTGGGCTAGCCTTGTAGTCGTTTGCTGCATCTTTTATTTCCATTCACGTGAGCAATTTGTTTCAAGCAAGAGAATGTGATTGACATGTTGCTGGATAGCAACAAGAGACATGGGAGTTTGTGTGTTTCAGTGAGGCTCATGAAATAAAGAGGCCCACTTCGTAATACATTTCAGAATCACCAAGCTGTGGCCTTGTTAATAGTATCTGAAAGTAAGGATAGGTTTCCATAGCCTTCATGTGCCTATTAAACATTCCTGCCCCTGCAGTCCCAGCCTCATTCTAAATCTCAGATTCATAGAAATGTAGGCTGGAAAGGACCTCAAGGGGTCATCTAGTCCAGCCCCTGTGCTGAACCAGGACCAAGTGAACTAGACCATCCTTGTCCGGTGTTTGTCCTGCCTGTTCTTAAAAAACCCTCCAATGACAGGGATTCCACAACCTCCCTTAGAAACTTCTTTCAGTGCTTAACTATCCTTATAGTTAGAAAGGTTTTCCTAATATCTAACCTAAATGTCCCTTGCTGCAGATTAAGCCCATGACTTCTTGTCCTACCTTCAGTGGACCCAGAGAACATTGATCGCCATTCTCTTTATAGCAGCCCTTAATATATTTAAAGACTGTTATCAGGCCCACCCTCAATCTCTTTTCTCAAGACTAAACACGCCCAGTTTTTTAACCCTTCTTCATAGGTCAGGGTTTCTAAACCTTTTATCATTTTTGTTGCTGTCCTCTGGACACTCCAGTTTATCCACATCCTTCCTGTAGTGTGGTGCCCAGAACTGGACACAATACTCCAACTGAGGCCTCACCAGAGTAGAGTAGAGCGGGACAATTACTTCCTGTGTATTACATATGACACTCATGTTAATACATCACAGAATGCTATTAGCCTTTTTTGCAACTGCATCACATTGTTGACTCATACTCCACTTGTGATCCACTATAACCCCCAGATCCTTTTCAGCAGTACTACCATCTAGCCAGTTATTTCCCATTTTATAGTT